ATGTTTAATATATCAACAGATTCAGCGATTCATTTTCATATTATAGGAGTTGTGATACGTTATATTCTTCCATTTGGTGATATTCTTAGTAATAAGCTTTAAATGTCACCGCCTGAATAGGCATTGTAGAAAAAACCCACCATAATTAATATAGACAATAAAAAAGAAGTCTCTATTCAACATTCAACAAAAATAAGTACGTTACTGAAACATTTCAACTTGTATCAATCATTCACAACATTTTCTTTCGTTCATAGCCAAATTAGTATCTATCATAATCTACGAGTGTAGGTAAAACAGTGCAGGTTCGAATTTGCTTTGTAAACCAAGTGTTAAGGCACTTTGACTGGTAATATAACTATCATTCATTTTGACCAGGAGTCTCTTTAACTAAAAGTTTATTTAACTTTACTCGATTGATATCATACGGTTCAAAAATGTACGATTTTGCTTAAAACATTAATCAAAATCGTATTAGAACGAGACCCCTAGATGACAATATTTAACAATTCAATTTATTTTTCCAAAATTATTGAACATTTTGGCCACGACGGCCTTATGTCTACATCAAAACCACAGAAAACAAATCGACCGAATGAACATCAAATTACAGAATAAAAATCACTTAAAATTAATACTAAATTAAATCACATATTTAAATGAAAAGTTTCCGCCTTCACTGAGATACGTTAAATTAAAATTAATAGTAAATCATTATTATTACAGTTAAGATCTCTTTTTGTGTTATTTTGTGCTCATATTACGAGACGCACGACAGATGGCACCACTGACACTTGGAACAATTAACATTCAATTGATAGAACATTCACTTAATTTCACTAGAACGTGACGAAAACTAAAATCTGATTAAAAGAACAATATCTCAAACATTTGATTAACAATCACGATTATTTAATTGAACATTTGATTTAGTGAACAACAGAATCGATTGTAATAATTACATTAATGACAAAACATCAATTAATTTGTTTGTAATATATACGAAACACGAGTAAACATCTTATATATATGTACTTACGAAATAAAGAAAGGGGGGGTACTTTAAAGTGCCAGTAGCGCCCTCTAGTGTCGCTCAGTGTTGCGTGGAGTTGTTGAGTACGTACATGACGCTAGTGTCGAAAGAGGCCGCCACTGTGTAGTTTTTGGACAGAAGGAACTGTGTCGTCTTGTTACGGATTGTGTCGTCTGTGAATTCCACTTCTATCATCTGTGAACATATTATAAATAAAGTTGATTAATAATGAAAATGTTCAAAGTATCCAGGAACGCGCCGGAACGTGGATCCACACGAAAGGCAGTGTATTTTCTATTGTGTTTTATATACTGATATTGAAGAGGTTTATAGAGAACCGTTATATATCTATTGGCTTTATTCAGATGAAAGAGTCAATTAATATAAGAACTTAAAAGATAGATTCTAACAGCTATAGTGATATATTTGTGCTATCTGGTGAGCAAGGAAACCTTAATAAATAGTTTTTTCTATTTAGGGCTGAATTACTTTATCATTATCATCAGCATGAAGACGTTCACTTCAGAAAAAAGTTTAAGGGGACTAAGGGGACGACATCGAACGATATCTCGCCAGTCACATCCACTGACTCCACACAATTCATCCAAACTCAAGCACTTCTTCGAAGCAGTCCTTGGACGTCGTACCTGTAGATGCAGGCGCGGGTCGTGGAAGGGCAGCACGGCGAGCGCGGGCGCGGCGGCCGGGCCGGCCAGCTGCAGCAGGCGCGCGGCCGCCGCGTCCGCCGCCAGCAGCACCGTCAGCAGCGGCAGGCACAGCACGCGCGACCGGAACACCGGCTCCGGCCGCTCCGACTCCGCGTACGTCACCTGCACGCACCACTACTGAGCCACGACCTCACAGCACGCGCGACCGGAACACCGGCTCCGGCCGCTCCGACTCCGCGTACGTCACCTGCACGCACCACTACTGAGCCACGACCTCACAGCACGCGCGACCGGAACACCGGCTCCGGCCGCTCCGACTCCGCGTACGTCACCTGCACGCACCACTACTGAGCCACGACCTCACAGCACGCGCGACCGGAACACCGGCTCCGGCCGCTCCGACTCCGCGTACGTCACCTGCACGCACCACTACTGAGCCACGACCTCACAGCACGCGCGACCGGAACACCGGCTCCGGCCGCTCCGACTCCGCGTACGTCACCTGCACGCACCACTACTGAGCCACGACCTCACAGCACGCGCGACCGGAACACCGGCTCCGGCCGCTCCGACTCCGCGTACGTCACCTGCACGCACCACTACTGAGCCACGACCTCACAGCACGCGCGACCGGAACACCGGCTCCGGCCGCTCCGACTCCGCGTACGTCACCTGCACGCACCACTACT